CTTCTCGATGGAAACCAGGCCAAAAACCCTGGAAACCCTCTTATGTTCGCATTCAAGAAATCAAAGTAAAATCAGCCCCAGCTTCAAATGCACTAATCAGCCCATCATCAAATGTACCTCTGGAAACAGTGTCCTCTCTAAAGCCAGACACGGCTGTTAGTCAAAGCGACCCCAGCAGCAGTAACAATAATGTTTCTGATAGACTCCTGCAAAGCAGTTTGTCCAGGAGCAGGTCACCTAGTCGATCACAAAGTAGCAGTAAATCACAGAGTCAGTACGGCAGCAGATCTTCCTCCTGCAGTAGGTCAGAATCGTATGATTCATACAAAGGAAGATCCACTGAAAAAAAAAGAAAACATCGTAAATCTAACAGAAATAGCCAAAAGAGGGACAAGCATGCAAATCATGGTAGTGGCCATAAAGATTCATCTCCCTTCTCAGGGGACATATCAGATAATCCATACAGTGCTATCCACGGACACAATGACTCCTTGGTTCAGAGAAACACACTGAAAAGCACAAATCCCAGTCAAAGGAAAGAACCAGTAGTGGACAACAATAATGCATCTGGATGGGAAATTGAAGGAGAGAACTCAAGTAAGACTACTACTGCTGTGGAACACCACCAACTCCCTTTTAGGCAAGAAGGACTTACTGAAACGAAAAAGAGACAAATTTTGTATCATTGCTGGGAGTCTGAGAGTGACTCTGAAATGCCAGACAAAAAGGTAGTTAGTGATGCCAAACATGTGTCTGAAAAAGAGGAGGGAGAGGCTAGTTCAGAATCAGAGTATGAATACCCTTTATGGTCCTCTAACAAGTCAAACCAAGGTGCAGAAATGTCTAATGAATTAAAAGGTAATGAGGAACTGTCTGCAGACATAAAAACTTCAAAGCACAAGAGCAAGAAAGCCAAGCGGAAGCACAAGCACAAGAGGAGGAACTCTTCCAGGTCAGGATCTCGCAGATCCAAGGCCAAGAAATCAAAGAAGCACCAAAAGCCGAAAGAGACATTTCACTGGCAGCCTCCACTGGAGTTTGGTGATGAAGGTGAGGAGGAGGATTATGTCACACAAGCAAAACAATTTCACATAGAAAATCCTGATGCTGTCAATGATGGAGCAAAAAGGCGTATAAAAGCTGAAAAGATCAAGCACCAAGTCTCAGAAAATAAGGATGGGGATCAAGGAATTCTTGAATCATCACAAGATACTTTTTCAATAGAGTCTTCTAAAGGTATTGATAAGAATGGGAAGGTGACTGAAAGCCAAAAATCAAAGCTAAATAGCAATACCGAAAGAAGTCCAGCTCAAAGCCATCTAGAGATCCATACCAATCTTTCAGACACTAACTTGGCAAGTAACAAACCAATATACCTAAATAAAGTTGACATATGTCCTCCAGAGCGCATCCCAGAAGCTAAGCAAGCAGGTCCAAAAACGATAGGCTTTTCCCCTCTAAAAAGTATTCGAAATGATGGTAGTGCGCTTGTTCCACCGCAAATAGAAAAAGGAAACTCTGTAACTACTGGATCTGTTTTACCTCAAGGCAGTCAGCCAGAGGAATCTGTACCTGGTGACAGTTATTTCTCAGCAGTTGAAAATAAATGGAAACCTTTGACAGGCATGACTGTTGCGCAGGCCATTACTACAAAACCTTTGATTATGAAAATAAATAAGCAGCAAGATCAACTGGAGGGAAAGGCCCAGGGTCTCAAGATTGAGATCAAGAGCAAGAGCAGAGTCCGTCCAGGATCCTTATTTGATGAGGTACGAAAGACAGCTCGGTTAAATCAGAGACCCAGAAATCAAGACAGCTCAAGTGAAGAAGACTCTCTTCCAGCAACAGGAGAAAGGGCTGGATCCCATAATCACTCTCGGAACAAGTCAAGGTCTGTGTCCAGCCACAGGACCCACCACAGAAGTAGGTCCCATTCATATAGCCGGTCCAGAAGCTACACCTACTCTTCCAGGTTGGTTACAACAGACAATGTTTTATGTCTTCGTATGTCCAATCTTTCATGTCAAGTTAATTTTGTATGTTTTAATTGTTCACACAGGAGCTACAGTAGAAGTAGAAGCAGGAGTAGATACAGCAGAGGACACTCCCGTTCCCGAAGTAGCACCTACCGAAGTTACCGTAGGTAAGTGTTGAAAGATATTTATCTTTGATATGTGTGTTATGGGGATTAAAATGTTTTTAAATTAAGATGCCACGGTGATCTTGTTTTAGCCACACAGACCGTAGAAGTCGTTCTAGAAGTCGGTACAGAGGTCACCACAGATCAAGGTGAGCATGGAGCCAAAATTATTCATGCATTTTGACTGCAACCTAGTGTCGCTTTATTATTCTTAGTTATGTCTTTTGTTCCTGGAAATACAGGTCTGACTCTTACGATAGTTCTTCTAGCCGTAGCAGGAGAAGAGGGCATCGAAGAAGTGAGAGCTCTGACCGCATGTCCAGGTACATCATAAATAAATCCATGTATTATTGAAACCGTCTTGTTTGAATTTGATAATGTGCCTCACTGAAGCTAATTCTTTGATGTGTGTCTTCACGTTCAGGTCATATCGCTCCTACAGTCGCAGTTCCTCCAGGAGGCGAAGTCATAGCCGAAGCAGTCGATACAGCTGAGCTGATTTTAAGAAGATGTAGCATTAAGTCTCCTCCTCCTCCATATGGTTTTCTAAACGAATGGCTCCGTTTAAGTTTGGTGAAGTATGTACTTTGATGTACACTGTATAATCATTTAATGTGTAATTCACACACATTCTGCTGTATTTTTTCCAAATGTGTCTATGTATGAATGTACATTTGAAACAAAATGAGTCACTTCTTTATTCTAGTACACTTTTTTTTTTTTAGTATCCCTAAGAAAAGGACCATAGAAACCCTCCAACTGTAAAGCCAAGGTTATATATCAACAGCCACTTACCTCAGTCCTTTGAAGATAAAAATCTGTGAAATGTAAGTCATGTTTTGACGTGACACACAGTTGTATTAAACAAATCAATGGTAGACATGGATGGGAAATGTTTAGTTTTGGCCAAATTAATGTGTTGTGTTTAAAAGGTTGCCCTCAGTGCATTTTTTTTTTTTATTTGTCCATAAAAACAAAAAATCTTACTGAATGTATCTAGTGCTGCTTATTGATACACCATTTAAATATAACAAACAAATCTTGCCAACTGGAAATAAATCTACATTTTTTTTTGTGAAATCCTATAAGTGTGCTGTATAATGTGTATTCTGTGAAATGTGTTCTTGTAGCAACACCTACTTCACGTTTCAGTGACTCCTCCAAATATACACATAGTTGAGTGAGATGCATTAGAATGTGGATAAAAGTTTTTGTAAGTCCATCTCAAGCATGTTTCTAAGTATTGTCCACTACAAGCATGTCTGCTTTTTGATTTAGTCCTTTGCTATACAGGTACTGGTGGGGATACTGTACATCCAAAATTGCTGGGGTACACCAGGATCAGAATTGACAGCCACTGCACTGATACTACTGCATCCAAATGTACTGTCAGAGTATGAACTGAATTTTTTGATGAAGAATTCACTTTTGGCTGTTGTCCTAAATTGTCCTTTAGTATAAACTGTATACATTTCTAGATGTACTACACATACTAACAATCATAAAAGTACAGTTTAACCACAAAGAGCAATTTTATTGGTACCTAAAGTACTGAAACATAAGAGCTCAGATCACATTTCTCAATTTTTTTAAACTACTTTTCTTTTTAACATTTCACATCTGACAGTTCCTTCACTCCTGTGGCCTTATGGGATAGTGTTTACTGTTTGCTCACTTAAAGGGTTAGTTCACCCAAAAATGAAAATTCTGTCATTAATTACTTACCCTCATGTCGTTTCAAACCCGTAAGACCTTCGTTCATCTTTGGAACACAAATTACGTCCGCTGGATGTAAACAGCGTATGCTGTTCTGTGTCAGCTGCGTCACACGGATACGCTGTTTTCATTCAGATCAAATCACAACAACGTAGGAAACCGATCCGGCGTGACGCAGCTGACACAGAACAGCATACGTTGTTTACGTCCAGCTGATACTCTCCAAAATGGCGCTACAGGGTGATGCGGAGGAGACGAATTGTTGAATAAAGTCGGTTTTTTTTTTCTTTTGCACACAAAAAGTTTTCTCGTAGCTTCGTAAAATTACGGTTGAACCCCTGGTCAGACAGCTCTCAGATTCCATCAGAAATATCTTAAGTTGTGTTCCGAAGATGAACGAAGGTATTACGGGTTTGAAACGACATGAGGGTGCGTAATTTAATGACAGAATTTTCGTTTTCGGGTGAACTATGCCTTTAAGAATCTCAGCAGGTGCAGTATGTCATCTGGGTTTAGTTTACCTACTGTTTCACAAATACTATATATCCAGACATCCTACTTGCTGTTTAGTAAAAAAAAAAAAAGTATGCATATGTGACCCTGGACCACAAAACCAGTCTTAAGTCGCTGGGGGATATTTGTAGCAATAGCAAAACATACATTGTATGGGTCAAAATTATTGATTTTTGTTTTATGCCAAAAATCATTAGGACATTAAGTAAAGATCATGTTCCATGAAGATATTTTGTGTGGTCCTATCCTAACAAACCATACATCAACGGAAAGCGTATTTATTCAGCTTTCAGATGATGTATACATCTCAATTTCGAAAAATTGACCCTTATGACTGGTTTTGTGGTCCAGGGTCACAGATTTGAACACACAGGATATAATTGCTCTGGTTGCCTGCTGTTTCAGGATTCAGCATGCTCTCATGCACACAGTGAGATACTGTCAAACATGCAAGGTCTTAAGCACCTGGGAGACAAATGCTCCATGTCCCCATAAGGGCAGATCGTATTGATTACACATTTTTAGCAGTAGATGTAGACTACAGCTCGGACAGGAAAAAATTTATCCAGTGCAATGGCCCTTTAAAACTTCTGACAAAAGCCCATATGATCCCGAGCTCCAATCACCAATTCCTACTGCAAAAGCAGCCTCTGCATTTTTGTCTGTCTGAATGCTGCTAGCACGGCAGAAAAAAACAGTGAGGGGAAGGAAAACTGAAGAAATGTGAAAATCCAACGTACTATAACATGGCGAGCGGAAGTCCTGCGCAAATGGAGTTATTCGCGGACTCCTTCGATGCTAGAGACCCCGGATCAAAATGGTACAGTAGACAACGACATTTTGATCATTTTATATCCATATTTTATTTATTGTAATTTTAAACGACTTAGCTAGGCCGATTAAACTTGCAATAGTTTGTCCCGGGATGTGTCTGAGTTTTGAATGTGTTAGATATCGTGATGTCGCCAATAAATTTGACCGCGAAATGAAGTTTGCAACTTGCACAGAACGCCGACAGCCACAGAAATTGGAAGGTTAACAAGAATGCAACGGCCACAATAGCTACATTGTTGCATTTAAAGAGTTAAATTCTCTCATATCAGTGTGGAGGATCACGTCGTGACTGGTGCTTTTTGTGGACATTGATGCATGCAAAATTAAAAGCTAATTTATTTTTTTTATTCCAAATATACTTTTGAAATCAGAGACTTTGTTGCACGGGACGAGACCGAATTCATGTCACAACACTGTTAACTTCACATCATGACCTCAAAAAATGTGTGCATCCTCCATCCATAGAGTTAATATTTCAGTTGTGCAATAACTGTGAGTCTCCAAATACATGCTGAAGGCGCTACACTTTTTTTAGAGATACAGGAGCTTAGAAACATTATAGTTTAAATACCATTTTTATGATTAGATTTTAAAAAAAATCCAAATGTTGCTACTCCTAGATACAATTAGACGTAGCCCAGAACAAACATAAGTTATTTCCAGAACTGGACATTTTTTACGTCATTGAAATGGAGAACAAAAAAAAATTAAGTTATGAATCATAATGAATCCGTTTTCTTTATTTCAGTATTTCCTTGACTACCTCTGTAAAACAATTTTTACAAATCCTTATCCATTAAAACATAACGATCATATATAAAGGAGTAAAATAAGAAAAGAATGATAAATGAGATGTCTTACAAACAGATTTTTTCTTAATCAGAATTCGTTTTTTTTTTTTTTTGTATTGAGTATTTTAATATTTTATATTCTTAATAAACTGAGGGAGAGCATCAGAGAGGTTGCGGGGATGAAAGCACAGCAGTGTTGATTTTAGGAATGCTCATTAAAAATAGAGCATGTTTATTGTAGTACAGTGGTGCTGTAATCCAGAGGCCTCTTCACATCTGGAAGCCGGGTTAATATTTGGGTCAGGTCATTACTTTAGTGTCACGACCCTGTCTTTTTGACCTCCAGTTGCTCGCTTGACTTTTTTCACATGACCCTTAAAAACTGTTGTTATTTTTTATTTTTTATACAGTGCATTTCCTCTTTGGCTGTAGTAGACAAAAAATTAAGTTTAATATGCATTGTCTATTGTTGGTTGGCATGTGAAATGAGTCAGAACCCTACGAACTCCTTTACGCCCCCATTAATGCATTGTTTATGAGAATATAATCAATTTTAGACAGTCACCACCAGAATATCACTTGATGATAACATTAACCAGTTTAATTTCCAAAACTCTCTGTAATAACAGAAAATGAGCTGTACTTCTTCAGCTGCATCTATTGCACTTGGTGACTAGTTCCCATTGCTAGTTAAGCATTGGTGGTAAAAGCACCAAGGTCATCATGGGTTTTAGATGTATACTGAAAAAGCCTAAGATAAATTAATAAATGCATTGAATGCACTCTAGAATGAATTGTTGCATGATGATTTCCTAACGTGAACATACATGAATTGGCCCTTTGTTAACTGTTCCTCATGAAAGCGCTATGAAAATTTGTATTTTAGGAAGAACTGAAATAGAACGACTCCTGCTAAACTCTGCAGTCTTGTCCTTTAGTGCTGCGGCCTGGAAAAAAGCATCATGCTGAGGGTTTTTATGTAACCTTCTATTCAGGACATTCCTGCCCACCCTTGTCTTTGAGGCTTCGTTGTCTCTCAGTGCTCTGCTGTTGAGGTAACTTAAATCCACGTGGCAAGTGCTCCTCAAACGGCTCCCAGCATTCAACTCAAGCCATGTTCTTATTATTATGGACGTTGAAAAAAGTTGCGCTGCTTAAAGAGACAGTTCACCCCAACATTACAATACTGTAATCATTTACTCACCCTCAAGTTGTTCCAAACCTGTATGAGTTTCTTTCTTCTGTTGAACACAAAAGAAGATATTTTGAAGAATGTTGATAACCGAACAGTTGACGGTAGCCATTGACTTCCATAGTATGGGAAAAAATATTATGGAAGTCAATGGCTACCAGCAACTGTTCGGTAACCAACATTGTTCAAAATATCTTCTTTTGTGTAATTTTATTTATTTTCGCTGAATCTTTACAATTTTACTCTTTATCAACACACATTTCCTTCCTTCTCCTTTTTGGTTATGGGAAAGAGAAGACATTTATTTCCCTATTTCACAGTTGTCTTTCTCCCAGTGTCCGTGTTGTCAGGTTCAGTTCCTCACATTGCTGCATACTTAGGCCAGAGTCTGTACATGGAGAGGAGTTGTGGCAGTTTGTGTTTGTGCTTTATGTGGCAGAGACATTCCAACTCCACAGGCTCTTCTCTTGGCCAGAACTCCTGACTCAGCTCCTTCTCACATAGCTCAGGCTGAATTCTCCTGGCAGTCCTGCTCTGGACATGGTAACATAGCAGATCACAGTCTACAACCTTGATTATTCAGTTCCTGCATTGGATAAGCTTAAAGGGTTAGTTCACCCAAAAATGAAAATTAGTCCATAAATTACTCACCCTCAAGTCATCTTAGGTGTATATGACTTTCTTCTTTCAGACGAATCCAGTCAGAGTTATATTAAAAATTGTCTTTGATCTTTCAAGCTGTTTCATGTCACTCAGAGGGTGTTGCATGCATCAGTCCAAAAGAAGTTAAATAAAAAGCGCCCATCCACACGACGCGTTTTTGTAAGAAAAATATCCATATTCAAAACGTAATCACTTTAATGTAGCTTGCGCCAACAGTCCTACACGGAAGCAGCTCCAGGCGGATGACGTATGAGGTCAGCGCTACGCATGCGCCGGTGAGTCTAGTGAAAACCAATGTTTGTTAACAGGAGCAAAGGAAGCAAAGTTTCCTTACTTTAGCAAAGGAAAACCAGTCTCCTCTCGGCTTATATCAAAATCCTCCGACATTCTTCTTTACAAATCCTCGTTTTGTACTTCTAATTAGTGACCGTTGTTTTGTTTTGATCTCTCCCCTGCGCTTCTGCGTGCGTCACTTCTGAGCGGCGCATGCGCAAAGCCGACCTCATACGTCATGCCCCGGAACTGCTTCCGTTTACAACAGTGAGCGCAAGCTACATTAAAGTGATTATTACGTTTTGAATCTGGATATTTTTCTTACAAAAACGCATTGATTCGCTACAGAAGGCCTTTGTTCACCCCCTGGAGCCGTGTGAGACACTTTTTTTTAATGGATGGGCGCTTTTTATTTCACTTATTTTGGACTGATACATGCAACACCCGCTGAGTGCCATGAAACAGCTTGAAAGATCAAAGACAATTTTTTATATAACTCTGACTGGATTCGTCTGAAAGAAGAAAGTCATATACACCTAGGATGACTTGAGGGTGAGTAATTTATGGGTTAATTTTCATTTTTGGGTGAACTAACCCTTTAAGATCTGTTACAGCCACATTTTGTGCTTGCTCGGCTGTATGAGAGAAATGGGCGAATCGCAGGAAACCTGTCATGAACTTGTCAGGGTCATATTTCAGCGCTACATTGAAAGGAAGAGGATAAAATATTTTGATGATAAAATATTTGGATAAAACCACATTTCTTCCCATAAAATTATTATCTTAATGAGAAGACATTTAACTTATTTTTTTCTTAACTTCTTCTTCATTCATATTGTTCTCATTTATGACTCTATGATTATTGAAATACAGTATTTTTGTACTACAAATAGTAAATTGTTGTACAATACTTTTCAAAAAATGTGGGTCGGTAAGATTTTTTAAACATGTTTTTGTAGTCTCAAATCAAAAATACAGCAAATACAGTAATATTGTGAAATATTATTACAATTTAAAATACAGACTCAGTGTCACATGACCCTTCAGAAATCATTCTAATATGCTCATATGGTAAGAAGCATTTCTTATTATTATCAGGGTTCTTTAATGAAAAGAAAATAGCAATAAATAAATAAAATAAAACAGCATTTATTTGAAATAGAATCTTTTTAATATCATAAATGCCTCTCCTGTCATTTTTTTATCAATTTATTGTCTTCTCACTGAAAAAAAAAAAAATAAATATATATATATATATATATATATATATATATATACAGTGGGTACGGAAAGTATTC